CTGCAGCCTGCACCCAAACTGCAGCTGGGCTGCACACCACCCCTCGTGGGTGAGCATGTGCCCCCTCAGTAGCCTTTGTACAGCAAACTTAGGGCAATCCGTGGCTCTGCAGGGCCCCAGAGAAGGTAGCAGTGAACTTTGCTGATGAATTATTACAAAATAAAACTGTATATGTGAACATTGCAAAAAGCATATCAGAGAGATATTAGAATTCTCAAAAAGTTGAAAAATTCTGGTTTTGAAAATTCCTGCGACATTGGAAAGCAAATATTCGTAGGCTTAGAAATAGAAGTTCAATGTAGAGATAATAGCTTCAATGAAAAAGAATACTATTTTCATGTTTGAATTAATTCGATGAAATAACTATTAACACTGATGATAATTACAATTAATTTTCCCTGTAATTAAAGACATAGTGATAGGATGCATAAGCAAGCGTTCTGATTAATGAACAAACCACGAAGCCACTTTTAGTCTTATACACCCTCCAGAAGTTACAGAAAATGTCTGTAGAGAAAACATTAAAATGCTGCTGCATAAATTTACATTTAAAATTAAATTCAGACTTACAAGCAACTAGTATGAAGAGTAAATCATTCCTAGAAAAATTGTTCCACTAGACATCAACTGTAGATTTACTAGAATTTGTATTTCAAACTAATTTATCATATATTTTACTCATGTTGTCGCAGCATATAAAATACTCATGAGAGCTCTAGTATCAGTTGCATCAACAGAAATATTCTTGTCAAAATTAAAAATTATCAGAAATTGTGTTTTCGAACTTGCATTTGCCAACAGCAACTGACATTGCTTTCAATTATATTAATTGAAATGAAGTTACTAAACGTATAATTTTTAAAAATTGAATTTTAGCTGATTTATAATGTGTTAATTTAAGCATGGTATACAGCAAAGAGATTCAGTTATACATACATATTCTTTTTTCAGATTCTTTTCCATTATAGTTTATTACAAGACATTGAATATTGTTTCCTGTGCTCTACAGTAGGTCCTTATTTTTGTATATTGTATATATAGCAGTGTGTATCTGTTAATCCCAAACATCAATTTTATTTACCCTCCCCTTTTCCCTTTGGTAACCGTAAGTTTGTTTTCTATGTCATGAGTCCATTCTGTTTTGTAAATAAATTCATTTATATCATATTTTTATATTAAACATATAAGTGATATGGTATGATATTCGTCTTTCTCTGTCTGACTTAGTCCAATTAGTATGATAATCTCTAGATCCATCTATGTTGCTGCAAATGCTATTATTTCCTTATTTTATGACTGAGTAACATTCCATTGTATACATTTATAATATATTTTGTATGTGTATGTGTGTATATATATATATGTTTATGTGTATATGTGATACACACACACACACACACTACAACTTCTTTATCCAATCATCTGTCTATGGACATTTAAGTTGTTTTCACAACGTGGCTATTGTAAATTGCGCTCCTATGTAAATTGTGGAGCATATAACTCTTTGAATTAGAATTTTCTCCAGATATATACCCAGGAGTGGGATTGCTGGATTATATGGTAACTCTGTTTTTAGGTTTTTAAAGGAATCTCCATACTGTCCTCCATGGTGGCTGCACCAACTTGCATTCCCACCAGCAGTGTAGGAGTGTTCCTTTTTCTCCACAGCCTCTCCAACATTTATTGTTTGTGGACTTTTTTAATGATGGCCATTCTGCCTGGTGTGAGGTAATACCTCAATGCAGTTTTGATTTGTATTTTCCTGATAATTAGTGATATTGAACATCTTTTCACGTGTCTGTTGGCCATCTGTATGTCTTCTTTGGAGAAACATCTGTTTAGGTCTCTGTCCACTTTTTGATTTTTTTTTTTTTGATATTGA